AAATCAAAGACCCAAAACTCTCTCTATATACATAGACCTCAATATATTTGTAAACCTTATTGTGGAATTAATAAACCCTTTTATTTTTACAAGTAATTATGTGTAGGCAAACCTTCATAGTCTTCAAATGGACTACAAGAGATCAAACAACACTAACTTTACAATACCAAACAACAATCAATCTACTTACAACATTCCAAACTGTAACTTTAAATGCCTGCTGTGGTTTGTTTAATTATAAGTTTTAAGAATATAGCAACTTCCTCCCTCAAAAGGGGCTGAACATGGAAGCCAACATCAACATGGGTTCTGGACAAAGGCGTTTTCTTGGAGGTGCTGTAGCAACCTTAGCAAGTGCATCAGCATCACCACCATGTATGTAATCAACAATGTAATCAAATACCTCATCTTTACCCCCTCTTAGAGCATTCTGTCACAGATTGATCAGTTGGAAGTATTAATCTCAAAAAGTATAGTTAGTTTGAATTAACAGTTAACATCAACTTACTTGAACAAATAAATCTGTATGGCTTTTCCCATTGCATAGTTTCAACTCAGCACTCACACCAACTCTCTTTAGACTCTCTACAAAACTTATACTGCAAAAAAATCATATAGTATATAAATTTCAACATATCCAAATAGTAAATGTATGGGAAATCAAACCTTGCATATGCTGGTATCGAATAATCTGCAGTTCCATGGAAAAGAATAACATGGGGAAATATAGAAACAGCATTCACAACACTTGAATCTTCAATCAAGATTTCAGGAGAAAAACGTTTCAAAGATTCCTCCCCCTCCATGATACTATTAATTAATCACCAAAATATATCAATTAAAAAAGCATTTCGGGTTAAAATTAAAATATATATATATATATATATATATATATATATATATATATATATATATATATATATATATATATATATATATATATATATATATACTATTAATACCTTAAAAGTATAGAGCGGTGGAAGCCTCGACTATCAAAATGTTCAACTAGACTTGGTAGGTTGTAGCTGCATGAGTTGCAAGAAATTATAAGCTTAAAGATTGATGTAATTTCTCATTTTAAAGAAAAGAAATAAATAAAATAAGACGGATGTTTTTACACTCCAGATAAACCAAAATAAGCTTTGATCTGAGAGACACTCCAAGAGATGGTCTCTCCTTTGGATTCCTTAATGGCCTGCTGAAAGAGTACACAAGAAGATATATGGGCACCAGCAGATTGTCCCATTACATAAATCCTGTTAATTAAACAAGCCTGATGTCAGCATATATATATTTATATAATGTCATACCAATTTTCAATAAATATTAGCTCACCTATTTGGATCACCTCCATATTCAGCAATGTTTTTACACACAAAAGATATTCCTTGAGAAATATCTTCAACCATATCACTGATTGTACCCTGAGGATAGTTCCTACATGCAAAACAAATTATTTCTGTTTTAATCATATTTTATTTCTTGAATCTCAAGTCTTGAGAATATGAATTTGATCAGTCAAATCACCTGTAGTCAAGAGATGCAACTATGATATCCCTTTCAGCTAACGGAAGAGCGAAAAGGGCACCCAATCCTTTATATCTACATAACAGAAAAAAGTTATTTGGATCATCAAACACAGTGATGATAATGGACACATGAAGTTTGAGTGTTTGCTTACCCTATCATCCATGCTCCACCAGTCACAAAGATAATGACAGGTTTCGGGCCATCTTTATCTTTTGGTAAGAATAGATCCAATCTGGGAAATAATCAAACTAAATGCATAAACAAACATAATGTGGCATCTAAATTGTGAATCAACATGGCAACATTACCTATTTCTAGGCTGATCACCATAAACCACACTTCTACGGATATGGGTTGAGAGGCAAAATTGATATGCAACTGTAAGATTAAAAGTTAAAATGCTTTTGATATTTCAAGATTGAGGTTATAGTATGTATGAAAAAACTTGATACGAGAGGGAAAAAAGCTGGCAAAAAGTAACCGATCACAAAACAAACCTTTGAGCAAGCCAGGTGATATCAGCGATGTGTAAACCAAGAGGGAAATAGCCCTCGTCTTATTTCGGCCTACCCTGATTAAAAAAAATAATAAAAATTTGAAATTAAAGCGCCACAGTTCAATGTAAGAATTGCTAGATTTTTTAATTCTAAACCCATTAAGAAACATCTGAAAGTTCCTCCAGAATGTTATGTTACAGTCTGTATGATCGCAATAACGGTATTCAACTGGAGCAACTCGATTTTTTTCTATTAACATTTCTCGCAATAACAGTTTGTATATACAAATTTATGTAAAGAATCAATGAAACGCGGAAAGCTTCTCAAGTTATGTGGAAAACTTGTTCTGCAAACGATTTGAAGTCAAATGATATATAGTACGGAGAATTATTAAAAAAGAATTGTACCCGAGATAGCTGATGAGGGTAAAAATAAGACCAATTATTAAATAAGTTTCAGTAGCAGCATCTATCAAATCGAGACGGAAGGATTCTGATCGAGGTAGGCACTGATCAGAATTTATCACCGGCGAAACATTACTGGAGTTTCTCCGTCTCATGCCACTGCCAAAGGTAGGGGTGTTGGTTGTCTTCATGTCTTCAGCGAAGCTTCGAAGCCTGCATCAACCAATTCCCGGCGTTTTTTTTTTTTTTTTGAATAAATGGATAAATTCAAAAATAGCAAGGATGTAAAAATGATATCAGGATAAAAACTAAAAGAAAATCTTTAGGGAATCCAATTTATAATCCCTGTATAGATAAATGGATTATTTCTAGTGATGTTTGTATAATCCTGTCATTTTTACATAAATTTTAGTTTAAAAATAGATGTAGGTCCGTTATATATCCCAACTAATTGCCTATTGTGGATTCATGATCATTTAAACGTGTATTATATTTCGTTGTTGGTTGCTCATATTGTTTTTAATAATTTAGACGTTTATATGTTAAAAAACGTGTATTGGGTTTGTTAAGGAAAAGCTTATCAAGACAAATGTTGAGTTTTGTTGTTTTAAATTATTTTATTTATTTACTGATTATTATTATTTTATTTATTTAATTACTCCATTAATTAAATGGAAAAAATTAGCCATAAATTTGAGATGTTACAATTACGGGATTACCTACCATTAGGATGATTTCGTGCCCAAAATCGCAATGTCCAAGAACAAGTGATATCTTTTTTTCATTTCCGACCCCGTCTTCAAAAATTCGATCTTGTCGAATGCTTCCACTTCACAAATACCAAGTCAATGATCTTCCTTCTTAGCTTCTTGGTTTTCTTATCCATGATGACTTCTCCTTCTTCAATTAAACACTTGCCCTCATCCACTCAAATCTCTTGGATATGTAGTAGTTCCACTTTGTCTCCAAATCTTATCCTCAAATAACACACATGGAACACATTATGTATTCATTCCAAATCCGTTGTTAACTCGAGCTAGTAAGTTTGCTTCCTGACACACACCAATACGTTTGACCCAATGTATCATGGGTTTAACTTTCCCTTTTTTTTCAAAATGAATTACTCCTCTCCAAGGTGACACTTTGAGCAAAACTTGATCACCTACTTCAAAAATCATCGTGAATTAGGCTCAACCCTATAAACACCTTTTCACCCGCTTGTAACCAACATGATGGGGATATCCACTTCTTTCCATATAAAACTTCATATGGAGCCATCTTGATAGTTGAGTGATAACTATTATTATATGAGAACTCTATTAAGGGTAAATGTTTGTCTAAGCTACCTGTAAACTCCAAAACACAAGCGCTCAACATATCTTCGAATGTCTGAATTGTTGTCTCACTCTGCTCGTCGACTTGTGGATGGTACACGGTACTTAGGCACAATTTTCGTGTCACCAATTCTTTCAACTCTAAAGATGCCAAGAGCTTTAGCAATTGGTGTTATCCCTTTTGCCAAATCAATGCGAAACTTCACTTGACAAGCAAGTAGTAATCCGGACAAGTCTTCCAAAAAGACTTTTAGGTATTCTTTAACAACTTCAATATATTCCTTAGAAACTTTCTCCTTTGTTGCATCCACCACATATGCCAAATATGCTTGACATCCCTTCATCAAACATTTACAAATCTTCATCATATTCATTAGTGCTTTAGGCGCCCTTATTCTATCTACATAAATGGGGATTTGCTTCCCCTAGGTTGCATTTGTTCTGACCATCTTCTTTCGGAAATAGGATCTTGACTTTGAATTTTGAAATTCCACTTAGGATCTTGACTTCGAATTTTGAAAGCTCATCCATGCCGATAATAACATCAAACTCTTCGAGCTTCACAGAAATAAGGTTGACTTTGAACTCAACCCCACTGTATTCTAATGTGACATCAGGGTATTCTTTTTTAACCAAAAATATTTTTCACATTTGTTATTTCAACCGCCAAACTCTTTTCTAGCATGCATGAAGGAACTTGTAACTTATAGTAATTCAAAATTTAATAATATCATAATTAACAAAAACAAAATATCATAACAAATAAATAAATCATAAAATGACATGTATATTCATCAACAAAAAGTTATAAACCCATACAAGTTACTATATGTCTTGATTTCAAGGCACATGGAATTGTGTGGATCATTTTTAGTTGTCAATCGCATTCCATCACATTAGCTCTTTTGCATCATGCTCCTCTCACTACTAGATTTTAAATATACAAACACATTGTTGACTTTCAAAGTCATATCCCTGAATAAGTGCTGCAGCTTCAATTTCTTAACATACTTTTCATTACAGCACAAAAACACCATAATCCAAAAATTCAAGAGAATTAACAAGATACCATCTCCTACTCAAACAAATGGATCCAAATTGCAAAATCACCAACATACAAATCAAAAATACGATCAAGGTTAGGTTAAACTAACAAGATTCGGATATTTGTCTCGAAAAATCCTTGATGAAAATCTTATTCTACTATTCTCCAATGTTTCCTTTAATGATGATCATTGCCTAAACCACCATTTTTGTATTGTAGATAAGGGAGTGTATAAAAATGGAGCATATTTATGGATAAGAGGAGTGGCTATCTTCCCAACTTTAGTCCACACACTTTGATGGTAACCAGCAGTCACAGGTGCATGATACATCAGCTTCAACAACTGCAAACCCAAAAATATATGCAAAAATTAAATTAATATCACAAAACATGTCACATAATCTAAGAATTAGAACCATCAAACTAACCTGCCAATACATAAAAGTTTGTATAATGTTACGCTGCCACCTACATTTGAATATCAAAGATTTTAGAAAAAGCAGCTCACATAAAGATTTATTTTAACTGATTAATTCTAGATAAATTAGATACTCACGATAAAAGAGAGATAATCAAAAGGAATCCGATTCCAATCTCAGCTTGTGAAGACAATATGCTAAGTGTTGTGGTGTTTGATTCTGCCCAAACACAAACATCTTCCAAGTACTTCCTGTTGAAAATGGAAAGAAACTATGAAGATGAATACACATAACAATGACTCAAATGGGCAATTATGATGACCATAAAAGAAGAGTGGGGATATCATATCATATCATATAACCTGTACAAGGGTGCTTGACTGAAATTATATCTGAGGAATTTTGCAGAATGTTCTAAGGCACGGCATAAGATGGGAAGCAAAGCAACTGTCATATCATTCAACATTGTAACAAAAGTCAGATGCAAAGTTTAAAGAAATTTAGAGCATATAAATGAATGTATAAGTAACACTAACATTTAAGTTGAAGATTTGAGGAGACAAATGTGAGGCAGTAAATGAAGTAGATAAAATCTTTGGTTGCAATTACTGACTGAAGCCACACTTGGACTGCCTGCAAATTCCATGCCCTTGGTTTCTGCAAACGATAAGGAATACCAGCATCATGAAATGACAACCATACAAAAGTTCAATGATGATGAAATTAAAGTCATTATTACTCACCCCATATAGACAGTAGAGGGAATACAAAGAAGAACATAGAGTGCCCATAAATGAGAGGCGATATGCCCTATTAGAAAGACTTGCAGGTATGAACGGGAACATAGCAAGCACAACCACTGCAATCACCCAAGCATTGACAGAAAACTGTATTGTTTGTCTATCCCAACGCAATGGAGTTGAATTCATAGTCGATGCTCGTGTTGCTTGTGTAGTTGATCCTACAAAGTTCAATACCCCAAGGGGTTGAAGAGTAATGATGCAATTCATATCAAATAAATGTGAAGGAAGATAATCTACCTGAGTTCTGAGATGGTCTGCATTCTCTTGTAGATGATGATGATTGTGGAGGTGATGATCTTGTAGGCTGAGAAGTATTTTGGATTGTCATCGGCTCCACTACAAAATCAGGGTCCTGATAGCGATATAGATTCCAAGTGCAATTAGGAAATGAAACATAAATGCTAAATATAAGTTTACATAAAAGAATGAACAGAAGATTCTATATTAACAATTGCAAATAAAACCAAACGTCGAATTTTAAGATCAAAAGATGGTTCAATGTCAAGCTATTCAGTTAATCAAAATACACAAATCAATCAGATTAAAACACGATGAAGATTGGAAAAATTAGGAGCGAATTGAGAAACGAGGGAGGAAGTGAAAGATGGGTACGGACAATGTAACGCTGGTAGAATTTACGTTTGTAGTGGGTGATAACATCGGAGCGACAAGCCATGTGAGGAGGGATGAGAATATTCGACCAATAATCGGCCCATTTAGGGTCGTTTTCGTAGTCATAGGCCGTTGCCGCTATCTTTTTCATCTTCCGTGGATCTTGTTCTTCTCCCATTATACCTACACTCTTCACTCTTCAATTTGATCGATGCTTATCTTTATTAAGAAATTCAGCAACCACGACGGAGTTGTGATGATAGTGATACCGCACGATCGGGTAAATAACAAAACACCCCCCCTAGGTTTTCAGCTATTCACTCTCCAAAGTCCAAACCATTATTGTTGTCCTTTTACAACCAATTATATGATATGTCTATTTTAACCCTTCATGAATTTTTGTTTACTCAAAAAGATCTTTAAGTTATAGTTTTCAGTTATAATTATAGACAAAAAAAATGGGTTCAACGTCTCTATCACCAGCTGTTGTAACTCTTTCCCGAGTTTTAGCAAAGAAAAGAAAAGAAAGTAAGGAGAAAAAAGAATAGAAAGAAAAATAAAAGAAATTTGTATTTTGTGTGTCCGAGTTAGGAAGAAGCGATCCTAACCTTCCACGATGTACGTGGTGCACTCTGGTTCTTCATAAATACAATCCTAACCTTCCACGATGCACTAGAACCTTGCAAAATGCGCTTGAGGTGAGGAGAATGCATTGGTTCTCCTAAAGGTGCACTCTTGATGTAAAGATCCTCTCTTGGTGCACAGGTGCTCCAAGTGACTCTTCATAAATGCATTGCATGCATGAAGAATGTGCATCATTCATGGTCAAGGGCACTCTAGGTGTTTGGAAGGTGGTCATGCACATCACTTCAATGTTGAAAATTCTAGAAGCAGTTGCATGGTGTCATGTGATTGACTGACATCTATTTAGACCTATGAATAGATGAATATGGCCTATCAGGGTTTCATGTCTTATTCCTAGTCTATAAACATGGGCTAATAGTTAGGATTTATGATGGTCTTTTGTGTAATCTTCTGATAGTCTTTACGAGGTTTTGGTTTGTATTGATTGTATAGTCGCTCTGTTTGAGCTCACAAAAAAGTATAATATCTCATGTCGTGTAGACGTATGTCTCATTCACCAAACCACATTAAATAGTGTGCATGTGTGTGTCTGTGATTCTGCATGCTTTCTTGTTTACTTCCTACGGTGACTATGACTTTTCAAAACCAGATATCTAAAAATTCGAATATCCGAAATTTCATATAGTTGATTTTTGGTTTCATATTTTGTATCCGAAATTTTGGATACGGATTCAGATACCAAAATTGGATATCCGAAAATTTGAAATTTTAATCAAAATTTAAAGACATACAAAAATTTTAAATTAAAAAGACATATTTTTAAATTAAAAAGGCATATGAAGTAATATATGTATTTAATCAAGGGTGTTATGAATATTTTTTTAGTTACTAACATTCATATCATAAGACATTTGTGATTAAAATAACAAATAGTGTATAAACTAAAAATCAAAATTTCCGGATATCGAATATTTGGGTTATCCGAAAAATCTGAAAAACACTATCCAATTCTGATTCCGAAAAATAGGATATCTGATTTTTCGGATACTTTGGATTCAGAATTTCGAAATTTCGGATATGGATATTTTTGAACACCCCTAACGGTGACCATACCCGATGGTCTTATAGTTGCTTCCCTTTCTTAAAAAAAAATCATATAATTGTAATTTTTAGTTCTCATCATATATATATATATATATATATATATATATATATATATATATATATATATATATATATATATATATATATATATATATATATATATATATATATATATATATATATATAAAGTTTACCCACCGATTCTCCGGTTCTTGCAATCGTTTCCCTTCTTACAGATTCAACTTTTTTCGTCTTTCTTATAAAATTGTCTTCAATGTTGATGATTTTAGTGTTATCAAGTCATTTAGTATGGTCAGGATTAACTCGGGAGCTCAATTTTTGCTACATTGTGAACTTAGGAGGTTCCTAGATGTGTGATTGCATAAGTTGATTTGATCTCAAGGACACCGGGTGTGAGAACAATGCCTCAGGTGGAGTTTGAAAGGCGTGGGGATAGCGTCTTGACCAAAACCAAAACGATATCCATAGGTAACATGTAGTATATTTGTTTGTTAGTTTCTTGCCAAAATCAACTGACATGTTTGTTCCGATTTTTCCAGTCAAGTTTCAACATAAATATTAATTGTCTTTGTTCTATACATACTTTCCAATACCTATAAGTGTATTGGTTTTGGTTTTACATACTTTATTTTTTTCCCTTTATGTTTGTTGCAAATTTGTTGTCTTGAAGAACATACAACGATAACATGTATTCGGTTATTTGAATCTTGGATTTTTCCTGAAATCAAGATTGAATTTTTTGGGATTAATTTCATGTAACCTTTTGGCTATAGGGTTGAAATTACATGTTTTGGAATGTGTTTTGAAAACGATCTAAAAAATATCCAAATTCAGTTTGATAATCATTGCCATGTTTTTCTTACAGTCCTTTAAAGATACAAACATCTTGAAAACAAATTTAAAGATCCAGAAGATGGTATTAATGTGGTGTGCGCATAATGGTGATGGAGGAGAGTATTATTAAATTTGGGAAACCAAATGTTACAATTGTCATTGTCTTGTATAATATTAAGTATTTATTCGTAAATTTACTTGACTACCTTACATGACGGTTATGATGAATAACAGTAATTATTTAATTACAATGGTTGATTGTAGGCAGTCGAATTTGATGTTAGGGAAACAGAAACACCAAAACAAAGGATCACAAATACACATTGAAAGAGAAGTATAACAAGAAAAGATTCTTACATTGTTAGATCGATCACATGGACAACAAAATTTACTTACATGGAAAAATTGGCACAAGATTTCCCTCCCATGAAGAATGAACAAGATAGCAACCACCATGTCAATTTTCTATACACCAAACGGGCCAACAGTGTAGTGTAAGAGAATCACACAAACAAACAGCTCTGTGATCACATACATACATACTATCTTAATAATATATCTTTACTTGGTAGATAGAGAATTAGAAAAGAATGTGTTGTGTTAATTATCAAAACATGTGTCGTGATCCTTCACTCTTCCAACTGGTCTGAGAATTATTATTAAAATATTCAGAACTGTAGTCTTGACTACCAAACGCCATTCTTTGGAATAATCTAATTTGTGCAGACTGTTCTCGCGAATCAAAGATTTCACTCTGCCCTGGTTTCATCCCGTTTGACAGATCCGTTGTGAACTCGACAATCGAGTCCAAAGCTCTCACCACCTGCACCACTCATGATATTAGGGTTAGGGTTAGGGTTTCCAAATTTTCATTTTTAGGGATTTCACTAATATATTCATGAAATAAATACCAGAATCAAGCATGGATGCGATGATTACCTGACTCATTCGTGGCCTTTTTGGGGCTAAATGGCGTATACAGGCTGCAGCTGCTTCAATCATCCGAAACATTTCAACCTGCACATAGTTTTTTTCTAGCCTCGGATCTACCAGTTCTTCAAAATCCTCATGTTCAAGTGCCTGATTCAGCAATGGTCGAGCCTGAAACCACACATGATGAAGAAGAAAGATTCATTTAAGGAAAAATTTTAATTTTTCTGGGTCAAAGAGTGGCGAGTGAGTCATAAACCTACCCATTCAACCAGGCTCTCATCCCCCAGTGGCTGAGACCCGTCCACAGGTTTACGCCCAGTGATTAGTTCCAACAGCACCACCCCGAATGAGAAAACATCAGACTTTTCAGTCAACTTCCCGCTTGAAGCATATTCAGGAGCCATATATCTGAAATTTTTCAAAAAATAAATTTAACAAAACAAAACAGGACATTATAACGTCCAAAAAAAAATGGATATAGTCATATAGTCATTGAGTTACCCAAAGGTTCCCATGACACGAGTTGTGACATGCGTATTAGTATCCATGGCTAACTTTGCAAGCCCAAAATCTGCCACCTGAGTAAGTGCCAATCACACAAATATAAATATGCATTTCAAAAATACTTAAAATCACTCTAGATTTGCAAGCAAACCATTGTTGTTGATTGCAGAAAAAAGAAAACTACAATACATCTTGCAAACAATGGTTGGAAAGGTTAATAAGATACCTGGGCATCAAAGTTGTCATCCAACAGAATATTTGATGATTTGATATCCCTGTGTATGATCCTCGGATGACCTGATAGATATACAACAAAAACATACCATCTTATACAATATACAAAATAAATAAATAAATAAATAAATAATATTGAGAATGTGGACTTACAATCTTCATGCAAGTAAGCCAAACCACGGGCTGCACCAGCGGCAACTCGAATTCGGGTGGACCACTCCATAACCGGTCTGTCTGGGCCTACAAAGCAAAGGGAGGAGATTTATAATTAAAAAAATGAAAAAGAAAAAAAAAAAAAATGGAATGGATTACAGAATTGAAAAGTTACCATGAAGATGGAAATGAAGGGTGTCGTTTGAGACAAACTGATAAACAAGTAGTCTTTGATGCTCAGAAATACAATAACCAACAAGGGACACTAAATGACGATGATGAACACGGCTAATGATTTCAACTTCTGCTCTGAATTCACGTTCTCCTTGTCCACCACCAATTTTCAGCTGTTTAACAGCAACTTCTCTCCCATCTGTTAACAACCCCTTGTAAACACACCCAAATCCACCTTCACCTAAAATATTGCTTCCTGAAAACCCATCTGTAGCCTCTGATAATTCTTCATAGGTAAACCATGCCCTCGAGTTTCCTACACCACCACCCTCCGGTGAGTACATGGAAATAGAATTACTCCCCACCCCTGAAGGGCTTCCACCCAATCGGTTATGAGCAGATTGTTGGGAACTCAGAAACTGAACATCTGTAAGTAAAAAAAAAAAGATAAAAACAATATTAATGAAGCCAACTAACGCAATAAAGGCATACCAGATGTAATAAATGGTTGTGTAGTATAATAAATAATCACCTGATTTTTGGGAGGAAGCAGAGGGTGAAGGCATAATGTAGTTACCAGTGGGGCGTCCACCACGTTTCTTTTGTCTTTTTTTGAACCACACAGCCATTATGAAG